GCCAAGACTTCAAGAGTTGCTTCCAAGATTCAACCTTTCACCTATTTGGGCATCTAGGAGGGTAAGATCTAAGTCCATCTTGTGTTTTTGGTTCCATCTTAGTTGTCTTTTCTTAAAGGTAGGATCTTTATGATCTTTAGGTTTGTTCTTGAAGTGGGATTGGAAAGTGAGCCTTGTGAGGAGCTTGTTGAGGTGTAAAGTGAAGTATTTAGTCTACAAGAGGTAACCCATGCTCTACAAAATCTATTTTGCTTACCTATATGTGATTTCTTGGATTCTTCATGTGTTTTGCTATGAAATGTGAGTGTTTATGCATTGTCTTGTGAAAATGCATATCTAGAGCTCGTGTTTAGGCTTCTTGTATGTCATTGCTTGGCTATTCCTTTGATTCAAGTCATTTTGTAGTATTGGGTGAGATTTGGCATGTTTTGGACTTGAATTTGAGTTGGAGATGAAAAATCCGCGAAGTGTGTTTTGTGGTACAGGACATGTACCCGCGGGCGAAACGGCGGGCGGGGCACCACTCGTCGCCCCACCCGCGGGTACGGGCCTTGTGGGAATGTGTTCCCGCGGGCGGAACCACGGATGGGGCACTACCCGTGGGTCCACCCGCGGGTACACAAGTGGAGTTGTTTGGGGGATTTGTTCCCCGTGATTATTTTGACTTGGTATTTGGTCTTTTGACTTCCTGATGTTCTTTTGTGGAACTATTTGAGTGTCTTCTTGATGTTTCGTATGTCTGGAACTATATGGTAGGTATCCATGTAGGACTTTGGTGTCTTGAATCGTGCTAAGTGTTCAACATTGTGTTTCGTTGAACCGTGGTGAGTCTTGTGTGTTCCTCGGAACTACCTTTGGTTTACCCGTTTGATAAGCATGCTAGTTTGGTGTCTAAATGCTAGCGTGTGTGTTGTTTGTACCTTCCGTTTGGGTGATGATAATTTGTGTTATCCATCGTTGTTGTTGTTGGGCTGTGACCCATTCCTTGATTGAGTATGTTTCATACCTTCGTTGTGATCCGTTGATTGATTCTTGTTGAGGTGTGATGCATGTGTGGCTTTACCTGGATTGTACGATTAGTGGTATGGGACACTAGTCACCAAGGTATTGCAGCGGTCCTTGTGGTGGCCGTGACGTGATTATGGAGCTGTGGCCTTTGTGTAAGGTTCACGTGTTTATTACTGGGATAACATGTGTTATCCTTGGCATGTGTTGCCATGTGTGTGTACGGTACCTCATGTACTATGAAATCGGTGGTTTTGTTGGAAGACTGTTGGAGGGGGAACGACGGTTCCCGGGTGAATAAGGTTAGACTTGGTGTACAGGGGTCCTAGAGGTAAAGGTTGGAACTAGATATAAGGTTGGGGGTAGCCATAAGGTTGGAACAGGGCATAAGGCATATCAACTCGTGATGTGTGCTGTCACGAGGGCTTGTGTAGCCGTGGTTGTGTGTTCTCTTCTTGTGACGTGTGTAGTCACAAAGGCATGTGTTGCCATTTGTCGTGTCTTTATCCTTGAGTTGTTGTTGTCCTTCGTGGTCTTGGGATGTGTTCCCATGTTATCTTTGAAGAGTGATGAGTCTTGAGTTGGTTTTTACTCTTGGTTTTACACTTATATATATGTATTCCGTTTCGAAATGATTTTGTATATATATCCTATCTATGTATGATACTTAACAGGTATTGGTGGGTTACCAGCATTATTCGTTGACCGGGCGTCGTCCCAGGTTTTTGTTGTGTTCTTTCAGGTGATGTCTAGACGAGCGCGATGTCTAGTGCCGATAGTATAGCTCCTTTCGTTTGTCTTACGGCCTGTGAGCCAATTTAGTTATAGACATGTGAGTCTTGGGATAGTTGTGAACCATGCAGATTTTGCCGTAGCGTTTATCGTTGTCGGTAAACGTCGCGTAACACCCCATGACTGAGATTTACGTTTATCCAGTTATCTTTTAATCTTCCGCTGTGCTAGTGTTTAGTTGTGTTATCTGCATGTGTTAAGGCTTTTTATATAGCATGTTTTGGGGGGGTGTTACATACTCGACCACAGACAGGGATCCTTGCTGCAGGTGGAGGAACTCATCGAACATGGCGGCTCGCACGTGTGCCGGGTAAAACCTCTCGCGCATCCTATCCTTAAGCGCAGACCAACCGAACTCAGGCTCTTCAAGGAAGGTCGGACCCTCATGAACCCTCCACAGATCAACTTCTTGGCAGAAGTAGAACGTTGCCAGTTCTACCCTTCTCTCCTCGGGACAACCCACAACCGCGAAGATCTTGTCGAACACTCTCATCCATTCCTCCAAAACCACCGGGTCTTCTTCACCCGCAAAGGTTGGCGGCCTATGACCTGACACCAAACGGCCCATATCCCGGTGCCCAGCAGGTTGAGGAGGTGGCACGAGGTGGTTGTTGTTCAGCAAAGCCTCGCTAAGCGTCTGCATCGTCTGGGTCAACTGCTGGAGGTTCTGAGCAAGCTGCTCATTCGTCGGGGTCTCCGGGGTGCGCGCTCGGGGACGAGGAGGCATCGCAAACTTCTACAACAACAACATGGTTACCAAAGAGATAACAAGCAAGCAAATAACTGAAAGCAACACTCAGCTCACCGCGCAACCTAGAGTCCTAAGCCTAACACTTAGATTCTTAAGGTCACTTTAAGGTCTCAAACCAAACTTAACCACATAGAAGTCTAGACTCTAACATCCTAGGCTCTAATACCAACTATAACACCCCCTAAAACCATGCTATTTTAAGCCTTAAAACATGCAGATAACTTAAACCAAAACACCAACACAACGGAAGACTGAAGAGAAGATATATATAAAACAAGGAAACGGGGTGCTATGCCACGCTCACCCAAGGGTGAACGCACAGGCTAAATCTGCATTGTTTAAAAACTACAACCATCCACAGAGTACTAAGTCTAGGTTGGCTCGCAGGCCACAAAACATAAAAGGGGAGCTATACTAGCTGGCACTAGACTGCGCACTCGTCTAAGCATCACCTGAAAGAAGCATATAAAACATGGGACGACGCCCGGTCAGCGAATAATGCTGGTAACCCACCAATACATGTGAAATATCATACATAGATAAGATATAAGTTTGTAAAGCCATTTTCGAAACGGAATACATATATATAAGTCCAAAACCAAGAGTAATAGTCAACACAAGACTCAACACTCTCAACAAGAACACGGGAACACATCCCAAGACTACAAAGAACAACAACGACTCACAAGAAGTCTCAAGGTATAATCTATCATCACACAATAGATTAATACTCGACATGCATAACTCAAAGGAATAAAGACACAACAAACGGCAACACATGCCAAGGTAACACATGCCTTTGTGACTACACACGTCACAAGAAGATAACTCACAACAACGGCTACACAAGCCCTCGTGACATCACCCATCACGAGTTGATATGCCTTCCTTATGCCCAGTTCCAACCTTATGGCTACCCCCAACCTTATAACTAGTTCCAACCTTTACCTCCAGGACCCCTGTACACCAAGTCCAACCTTATTCCTCTGGGACCCGTCGTTCCCCCTCCAACAGTCCCTCTAACAGAACCACCGATTTCATAGTACACGAGGGTACCGATCACACACACGGCAACACATGCCTCCCAAGAAATACGTGAACCTTAAACAAAGGCCACAGCTCCATAATCACGTCATGGCCACCACGAGGACCACTGCAATACCTTGGTGACTAGTGTCACATACCACTAATCGTGCAATCCAGGTAAAGCCACACACACATCACACCTCAACAGGAATCAATCAACGGATCACAACGAAGATATGAAACCATACTCAATCAAGGAATGGGTCACAGCCCAACAACAACAACGATGAATAACACAAGTTATCATCAACCAATAAGAAGGTACAAACAACACACACGCTAGTATTTAAACACCGAACTAGAATGCTTATCAAACGGGTAAACCAAACGTAGTTCCGAAGAACACACAAGACTCATCACGGTTCAACGAAACACAATGTTGAACACTTAGCACGATCCAAGACACCAAAACCTACATGGATTCCTACCATATAGTTCTAGACATACGACACATCAAGAAGACACTCAAATAGTTCCACAAGAGGACAACGGGAAGTCAAAAGACCAAATACCAAGTCAAAAGAATCACGGGGGACAAATCCCCCAACAATCACACATTGTACCCCGCGGGTGGACCTACAGGTAGGCCCCTACCCGTGGTTCTGCTCGCGGGTACATGTCCACAAACAGCCTGTACCCCGCGGGTGGGCGACGGGTGGACCTCTTACCCGCCGTTCCGCCCGCGGGTACACTCCTGTACCACAATAAAGCCCTTCGCGGATTTTCATCTCCAAACTCAAATTCAAGTCCAAAACATGCCAAATCTCACCAAATACAACAAAATGACTTGAATCAAAGGAGTAGCCAAGCAATGGCATACAAGAACCCTAAACACAAGCTCTAGATATGCATTTTCACAAGACAATGCATAAACACTCATATTTCATAGCAAAACACATGTAGAATCCAAGAAATATTCATATAGGTAAGCAAAATAGATTTTGTAGAGCATGGGTTACCTCTTGTAGACCAAAAACCTTCACTTAACACCACACCAAGCTCCTATCAAAGCTCACCTTCAAAACCCACTTCAAGAACATACCAAAAGATCATAAAGATTCTATCTTTAAGAAAAGACACCTAAGAGAACACTAAAAACACAAGATGAACATGGATCTTACCCTCCTATATGCCCAAATGTATGAAAGGTAGAATCTTGGAGACAACTCATGAAGTCTTGGCAAAGCTTCAACTTGGCTTGGAAGAAAAGCTACCCACCTTTTTAGAGAGAAGATTGAACTAGGATTTTGGAAAGTGTAAGGATAGAAATGAGGATGTTCTTACTAGGTTAGGTTACAATACTAACACAAGGTGAAAGGTCAAGAATACCCTTACTAACATGGAAAGGTGTAAGGAACAAGGGAACTCCTTACAAAGCTCAAGGTACAACTTTGACTTTGGGGTTGACTAGTTAATAACTAGTCCCCGACTATTAAATTTCAGGAATTTAAAGAATTAAATTACAAATTGAAATAGGATTAATTACTTAATTAATCCCTTAATCGAATTCGGATTTCGGGGTGTCACAAAATATCATAGTTTTATGGAATCATTTTTTATAAGAATAGTCTATATATAGCTAATAATTTGAGTAATAATTATGGCATGATTAGTTTATTGTTAAAGAGTTAATTCCTTTTTTTGTCATAGATTTATAAGTCTAAAACTATTTTAGTCTTTTTTTTTTTATTCCTGAACATATCCTGTTGGTCATAGTATTATTGTTACATGACCATTTTCATCATCTATCAACAAACTTGTTTAAATAACGTTAAATACGGGGACATTTTGATCTTTTTATACAAAGTGGGTTGGCCCTATATTTTTGTTATTATTTTTTGAAAAAATTCCTAATTCACGACTAGAGACCCTGTCTTCTTTAATTGAAATCTGCACCTCCGCAACAGAGCCTCCATAACCCGAGTCTCCGCAGTAGTGGAATGGCACATATAAATCTAAGACCAAAAAGAAATTAATACTTAGAATCGAATAGACTGAAATATTACATATTTAACGATATTTAAAAATGTTTGTTGATAGAGCCCAAAAAATGGTGCCACAATAATACTAGCTAGGAAAAACAAGGAATGTTTTTTTTTTTTTTTTTAAAAAAAAGACTAAAGTATGTTACCTAGAAATCTAGGACCAAAAATGAAATTAACTCATTGTTACAGTAAGAATTTTAGATATGATAAAGGGAAAATGACACTTTTTCCCCCTGTGTTGTTTACTAATAGCACATTTTCCCCCTGTGTTGTTTATGTAACCACTTTATCCCCCTCAATTGTTTTTGAAGTGGCTATTTTTCCCCTCTCCGTTAAATAAGTGTTAGGGATGTTAAATATGAGGGTAAAAATGGCATTTCACTTATTATTATTATTATTATTATTATTGTTATTATTATTATTATTATTATTATTATTATTATTAGTAATGAATTTGGTTTGCAATATAACTGTGCATTTTAGGCGTGGAGTACTGCATTATATTAGGGCGTTGGGTGGGACTTATTATTATTATTATTATTATTATTATTATTATTATTATTATTATTATTATTATTTGTATTAGTAATGAATTTGGTTTGCAATATAAATGTGCATTGTGTGGAGTACTGCGCAGTATATTAGGGCCTTGGGTGGGGTCGTCCATTAATAATGATAATAATAATGATAATAATAATAATAATAATAATAATAATAATAATAATAAGTGAAATATCATTTTTACCCTCATATTTAAAAGCCCTAACACTTACTTAACGGAGAGGGGGGGGAATAGCCACTTCAAAAACAATTGAGGGTGATAAAGTGGTTACATAAACAACACAGGGAGAAAATGTGCTATTAGTAAACAACACAAGGGGAAAAAGTGTCATTTTCCCTATGATAAATGATCAAATGTAATTATGGTACTAATGGTAGCATTAAATACACACACACTGACACGCACACGCACACGCGCATGCACGCGCGCGCGCGCGCACATTCGCATGCACGCACGTGCGCGCGTGCGCACCATATACACACACTCTAATTCCTCCATGTGTACAAAGGTTCTTGATGCCATCGCTTTTGCTTTCGTCGGGTTTGACTAAAGAGGTTGAGGTTTCGTTCTGAGATAATCGGGAAGACCCCAAAGGTGAGGAGCTACTTCTGCCAATCCAGCCTGTACTCGGCAATTTATGGTAGATTGGGTCAGGATGTTCCATGTCGGTAAATGCTCGGGAATAATTCATCTTGACGCCCCGTTCGAATACCGAGCATGTATGCGGTATGTATAGATAACGAGTCGGGAGTATATTCCCTATCAATATACGAACATAAATTTATCTACAAATCTAATAAGAGCCAATAAAGTTAGGCCCTTAATAGGAACAAAAAAATGTTGGTGTAATTATTTGTCGAAATGAATTGTTCATATAATTTTGATTTTAGTATTTTTTAAAATAATTTTTCTTATTTACCCCTTATTATATTATTTTCTTCCCTTAAACAACCTTGCATTTCGTTAGTATAAACTTTAGTAAAGGAATATTCCGTTAAGTATTTATTATTCTTAACTTATTAATTTCTATAAGAAAGGTCCTAGGTTCGAACCTCATCCCAATCAGGATTGACATAATTGTTAAACATATACTACGAATATGCTAAAATGTATTAAAAATAAAATATAAAATTTAACATAATTGGTCAACTAATTAGCCCGACTAAATACATAGCATTCAAAGTTGAGCATAAAAGATTATAAATCAGAAACCTTAAAAATCATTTTCTTGCATTTAAAAAAAAAAATTTTAAATCAGAAACCTTGAAAATTATTTTCTTGCATTTTTTTAAAAAAAAAAAAACAAATTTAGGTTAAGTTTTATTTGCTTTTTTTTTCGTTTAATTAATCTTTATTATTATTATTATTATTATTATTATTATTATTATTATTATTATTATTATTATTTAGAACAAAACTCAATATTTCAATTATGTTTTTGCATTATTGGAATGATTTAGGTCATTATGGTATTAATTAATATTTTTTGTATATATTTTTATAATGATATAATTGTACATGACTTTGCAAATATTGTACTATTATTTTTTTTATTGGACAAAATTGTTTTTACATCATTGTCAGACCTGCGCGACCTTACTACAAAGCTGTTGGTTAGAAATACAACTACAGTTGGACTCTAAAACGGTATGACCATTTTCTAAAGAATTGACAATGTTGACATCTCACTAGCTCCAATTGAACAAGTTTACACATCATTCTCAAAATTTTATCAATGCATGAAAATTTCTAAAGAAATTTGTAAGTTAATTTTTACTATATCATATAACAATATATATTGTAACCATATATTTCTAATTATTTATTATCATAATTTATTGACAGCAATTGTAGCAATTGTCATTGACAAACTTTCAAAACAATTTGTCTCAACAACGAATAGAAATATAAAAAAAAAATCAATGATTTTATTGTTGCGGATGAAAAGTAAGTACCTCACTTTATTACACTTATAAAATTAAATAAATTAGTAGCTACAACAAAAAATAGTACATATGCATTTAATTAATTTAGAATTAGATGTCTATAATGTCTTTATTCAAAAAAAAATATTCCTTATAAAAAAATTAAAAATGATATATAATTTTATTAGTTATATTATCTTTATTTTCTACAATTCAAAGATTACTTACTTTCAAATTCATTAATTAATTATATTCACACTACCAATAAAAAAAATGAGGACAAGTACTGAAAATTAAGACAATGACAATCCTACCCAAAAGAGAATAAAGAAAACTTAGAAAAATTTAAACCAAAAGTAATATTTATTTAGAATATTATTTTTAGATTAAGTATTTAGACTAGCGTTATTATAAAGTTAGAAACATCTATTTTAGTGACAATTATAATCAATATCTCATATATTATCTTGCATTATATTTATATATTTTGAATTACTTATTTAAATAAACAAATTCAACATTCAATTACCTATGTATAAACATCTCATATATATAAAATCTTGCATTGATATACTTTGAAGTACTTATTTAAAAAATAGTCATTGGACATTATTCCGTTTGCGCAATGTGCGTGAAAAAATTAATTAATAATATAAAAATAATTTTGTCTGATAAATATAATAGGAAGATATTTGAATTGTAATGTAGAATTGCTCATGAGAAGGATGCGAGTACTATGTACCAACACATGCGTGGCTCATCGTTGTTCTTAATTAAAGAAGAAGAAGAAGAGCACATGACATATCAATAGTGTGGTGTGTGTGGGTTGTGGTGAGCTCATCTTTGATTTACTCATACACGTCATACAAGCATTACTCTTGGCGGGACCTTGTAGTACTAAAAACCTGTTGAGTTCCTCTCATATATGGATTAGGAATATGAGTTTGTCTCATACTAGGAGTAGGAGTGAAACGGATAGACCTATTGTACAGGGATTAGATGTCTATAAATATATTGGTTGTATCCCTAAGGGGTCGTGTTACCACTATCATCATCACTATGAATATAAGAATACTTTCACTCCCGTGGATGTAGGCACATTGCCGAACCACGTAAATCTTGTCATCTTTACCCTTTCTGTCATTGTTATTGTTTCTTGTTCTTGTTAATTTCAACAAATTGGTATCAGAGCATTGTTGAGATGGCGAAATCAAGTACAAAATTCGAGGTATCAAAGTTTGATGGTATAGGGAATTTTGGGTTATGGCGGTCTAGAGTAAAGGATTCGTTGGCATATCAGGGCCTTCTGAAAATCTTGAAGGCGGAAAAGCCAGCTAATATGGAAGAGGCTGATTGGAAGCAGTCGAAGAAGCAGGAAGCTACGAATGTGGTACATGTTGATGACTCTTATTATAGTGAAGGTGATGTTCTAGCGGTAACTAGTGACAAGATCAAACATTGTTTGGATTTGTTGGGTGTTTCTTGATGCTAGATGAGAAGGTGGTGAGGGGCGCTGTAGTGTTGGGCAGCGCGGAGACCAGGAGGGGTCGCGGACCTGGTATGGGCCAGTATGGCACTGGTATTGGTATAGGTCGAGCTTATCATGAATCACGGCTGGTATGGGTCGGGCTTGGCATGAGTCACGGCTGGTATGACCCGGACTTGGTATGAGTCACGGCTGGTATGGGCCGGGCTTGGCATGAGTCACGGCTGGTATGGGCGGACTGTTCGAGATGAAGCGGTTCATGAACATGCACTGGAAAAACGTTTGATGCTGCGTGGTGCGTGTTAACCATTGGCAATTACTGGTTAGTGAAGCATTGGGCAAGGCACACGGGTTTAGTGTGACTTTGCAGGGGCGCTGTTGTGTTGGGGCAGCGTGGATACCAGGAGGGGATATGGACCTGGTATGGGCCAGATGCAGGATGTCAGCTGAACGTGCAGTTAGCATGAGTCGCGGCTGGTATAACAAGTCGACGGCTGAGGGCGAATGGCTTGGGACGAAGCGGTTCGTGTACATGCGCTAGGTAACGTTTCATGTTGCGTATGCATGTGGCTGGCTAGTTGGGATGAACATGGTTGTTCCTACCCATGTGTATATGTGAGATAAGTCTTTTTCTCCTAAAGGGCATATTTGTGAAGGTGGAGATGGTGAGATAAGTCTTTTCTCCTAAAGGACATATTTGCCAAGGTGGAGATTTGTTGAGTTATCTTTTTCTCCTAAAGAGTATATTCGCCAAGGTGGAGATAGTCTTTTCTCCTAAAGGGCATATATGTGAAGGTGGAGATGGTGAGATAAGTCTTTTCTCCTAAAGAGCATATTTGTCAAGGTGGAGATTTGTTGAGTTATCTTTTCTCCTAAAGAACATATTCGCCAAGATGGAGATTGTTGAGTTTGTCTCATATATGGATTAGGAATATGAGTTTGTCTCATACTAGGAGTAGGAGTGAAACGGGTAGACCTATTGTACAGGGATTAGATGCCTATAAATATATTGGTTGTATCCCTAAGGGGTCGTGTCATCACTATGAATATAAGAATACTTTCACTCCCGTGGATGTAAGCACATTGCCGAACCACGTAAATCTTCTCTTCTTTACCTTTTCTGCCATTGTTATTTTTCTTGTTCTTATTAATCTCAACACAACCTATGTCATAGGTGAACAAATTTAATCTAATGTTATATATGTGTTTCGGGCAGGACATCACAAGAATCACAAGAGTTATGTGATTTTATAACGTCAGTTAGTTACTATTTTTTTGAAGAAAGCACTACCCATTTATTTCGTGATTGCCAGTATGCTGTTTCCATATGGGCTACGTTCCAGTTGCCGCCTACTGCTTTTGCACAAGGTAATAGAGTGGATTGGTGGTTTGATATTTTATCTATGCTAAATGAGGACATGTGTTGCAAGTTTGTAATGCTTTGTTGGGGTCTGTTAAAACTAAGGGATAGAAAGGTCTGGCGGGTGGAGAATAATCACCACCCGCCAGTTAAGTGGAAGCAAAATATGTGAGAACCAAAGAACAAGAGAATATATTATAGTGAAAGATTACAATCGATCGTCTCTCTTAATCTATATTCTATACTTCTATGGACCTCTATATATACTAAACTAGATACTAAATTAGTCTAGGAAACTACTAATAAGAATAGGAAAGTAAAACAACTTTCCTAATATTCAACACTTGTGATTTTTTTCCTTAACATGTGATTTCTATGATTACTTTCCTTAACACCCCCCCCCCCACTCAAGTTGGAGCATGTAATAGAGAAATGCCCAACTTGGGAATGAAGGCACCAAGGGTAAAGATCAACACGAACACCATCACAGCAACATAAGCAACCTAGGATGGATGGCTTCAAAAGAGATTGCGCTATGTCTGACCCTTCCTTGGAATGAAGACGAAGGCACCAAGAACGGAACTGAACATAACCAAGAGAGATACGACGACGACGTACCACCGTGACATCGTCGTCGTTGTTGCTAGCGTCCCTCTTGTCAGCGTCGACGACCTCTGTGTCTGTCATGGCGGCAGCGGCACACGGCAGGAACAATGCAAGGGGAGGGCGTCGATTAAGAATAGCAAAGGACGCAGTAGAGCCAAATAAAATAGCAAATGGCAGTAGAGCCAAGTAAAATATTAGGGTTTTAATATTTGAAGAAAAAACAGCCTAGGAAAGTAGGTTCGAGACATGGGTGTTGATCTCGAAGGTTATGACTCAAGATGTGAAGTCCTATGACTCATGTGATATATTTGTAACAAGCTGGGCATGATTGATATCTATGCTCCAGCTTGGGGGAATGTTAGAAGTGAATAAAGTAGGGATTTAAGTTAGTTCTTTATTTAGTTATTTTGGGTTATCACTTATATGTGTAACAAGTTGGGCATGATTCTATGCTCCAACTTGTTACACAAATAAGTGATAACCCAAAATAACTAAATAAAGAACTAACTTAAATCCCTACTTTATTCACTTCTAACACTCCCCCAAGCTGGAGCATAGATATCAATCATGCCCAGCTTGTTACAAATATATCACATGAGTCATAGGACTTCACATCTTGAGTCATAACCTCAACACCCATGTCTCGAACCACTTGATCAATCTTCAAACCACGTTGTGCCAAATCAGTCCACCGTTCAACCTGTTGCACCAACTAAGCTTCCACGAAGCCAAAAACATGACAAACACCACAGCGCACCTGTCACTCACACCCCACACTGTTATCAGCACTGCCTAACATCACAGTGCTCCTGCCTCTCGCACCACAAACCATTATTAGCGCTGCCCAACACCAGTGTTTTCCTGTTTTCCTGGTGCACACAATTGGTTCATCCCGAACCAATTCTTCTTCAACCATCGGCCTCCCATAACTGCCGTGGCATATGCCAGGTCCGTATCCCTCCTAGTATCCGTGCTGCCCATCACTGCAGCACCCTGGACTGATTCACATTGAACAAGATACACTGACTCAACTCATGCCAAAATATGAGACTAATCCTAGGGACCCACAATAATTAACCAAACAACACAATTCACAAGATATAATAAACCAAAGGCTCTGATACCATGTTAAAACTAAGGGATAGATAAGTCTGGCGGGTGGAGAATAATCACCACCCGCCAGTTAAGCGGAAGCAAAATATGTGAGAACCAAAGAACAAGAGAATATATTATAGAGAAAGATTACAATCGACCGTCTCTCTTAATCTATACTCTATACTTCTATGGACCTCTATATATACTAAACTAGATACTAAATTAGTCTAGGAAACTACTAATAATAATAGGAAAGTAAGTCAACTTTCCTAATATTCAACACTTGTGATTTCTTTCCTTAACATGTGATTTTTGTGATTACTTTCCTTAACAGGGTCTATGGGGAAACAGGAATGACGGGGTTTGGAAGGGTGTTCCGTTTGTTAGCGAGTAACTGGTTCATAAGGCTATATCCTTTTGGACGAATTGGAAGACGGTGAATACTTTGGATAATGGTAATGCTGAATTACACGCTACTGTGGTCAAATGGAAAGTGCTGAATGCAGGTAGATTAAAGTTGAATACTGATGCTGTATTTGATGTGGAGAATAATATTATGGGCCTCGGTTGGATCTTGTGGGATGATGAAGGACGATTTCTGGCTGTCAAAAGTACTCGTGTTCCTGGACAGTATAGTGTTTTGGAGGCGGAAGTGTTTTGTGTTCGGGAAGCTCTCAGTTGGCTCAAGGATACTGGTCTGGGAGATGGAGATGTAGAAACAGACTCACAGTTATGTTATTATGCTTTACTTTCGAATTCCTTTTATTCTGCTTTTGGTTTTTTAGTTGATGATGTTAAAGAAGTTGCCTCTATGATTAACGGGGTTAACTTTGGTTTCGTGAAGCGATCTGCGAATCGTGCATCATTCTCTTGCTAGGGAAATCGTTTCTGTGTCAGGTTGCGGGGAGTGGTTTGATAATCTTCCTCATTATCTTGTTCATATTCTTTCATCTGATTTAATGAATTAAGTTCTTTTCCTCAAAAAGGTAGAATCATCCACCTCAGACGCTCTCACACCCTGACCTGACAATTTGTGAAAAGATTAATCATAGCGACTTAACTGATCAATAGATGCTAGATATTTGCTCACTGCATATAAGGAGCCCCTCATTTTGATAGGTTGCTCTCACACTGTCACCGGTGAATACTCTTTGATCTCTTGTGACAAATTTTACCCTTGCGACCAATTGAGCTACCCATACAGGTCAGTTAATGTTTTTCTAACTAATAAATACGATCTATATATGCTATATATGTTTGGTTCGGTTTGAGAACAATTTTCCTGCACACATAATTATTTATTTATTTTTACTAATAATTTAAATTTAAAAATTTAAACAAGTCCACAATGCATATTTGAAATTTCTCAATCTAAAATAAGTTCAAACTGAACCGACCTCTTCACTTGCCGTTCGACAACGGCATCAAACTCACACAGAAAAATTGAGAACAAGAACAATTGTGAAAATTTGGATTAAGGAATTAGGTATTTAATACACACACACACACACATGTGTGTGTGTGTGTGTGTGTGTGTGTGTATATATATATATATATATATATATATATATATATATATATATATATATATAATCATTCATTTTTTTTTCCAGTTTGAGTAACCCGGATTGAAATGTTCACCCCTAACAAGAACTACAAGAGGGCCTTGTACTATATATAATATATAATTGCCTCTCTATGTAAATTGAAGTTGATTAATGAGTACATAAGTATGAAGTTTAAGCAAGTACAATGTTAAAGACCTTGTGGTTAAGTGACATACCTATAGTTATTTTAAATGAGAGGTTACATGTTTGAACTCTTATAGGGACATTGACTCTTTGTGCTTTAATAAGTTGATAAAGTATCACTAGAATTATGCTTTTGTGTATACTTGTGGAGATCAAGACATCATAAGATCGAATTACATCTTCGTAGAGATTGAGACGTCACATTTGTCACGTTTGTGGTAAGGAATGACTGTTTTTCTAACTAGTAAATTCCTTGAACCATGTTACAACTACCATCAAATTAACTTGTACTCGTATAGTACCTTCAATAAAGGAAATTAAACAAGACTTCATTTCACTTTCTTAGATATAATATGAGTACAAAACTATGAAGTTTAAGCAGATCATATATCGAAGCATTACTTTAATTTTGGTGGAACCATGTATGTAGTATTGATGTCAAAAATGAGCAAATTAATTTAATCTATGCTTTAATATAGATTTAATTCCATTTTTGGTCTATGCTTTTATATAGATTTAATTCCATTTTTGGTCCTAGATTTTTAAGTGACAATTCACTTTTAGTCATTTTTTTTTTTATTAAAACTGGTCCTGGTATTATCGTGGCATGACCATTTTTAGTCATTTATCAACAAAATAGTTTAAATATCTTTAAATACAATGACATTTTGGTCCTCAATTATGGATGTTTTCAAAAAAATAAACATAAAAATATAGTGATTCAACATATTTTATATAAAAAGATTGAAATGTCTGTCTTTGTATTTAACGATATTTCAACGATTTTGAAGATGCAGGACTAAAAATAGTCATGCCAATATAATACTATGACCAAATGGAGATGTTCTAATAAAAAATGACTAAAAGTGAATTGTTACCTATAAATCTACGACCAAAAATGGAATTAACTCTTTAATATACATATAAGAAAGATGAGATATCACAAGAATTACACATTGTAATTCAAAAAGAAAATTAAACAATATACTATATGTACTCCAACTTCTTACTCCCAACTTCTACGCACTCCTTATCACAAATATTTGATGTAGACATTTTTTTTCTAGAACCCATGTGATGAAAATATCATATCATTATTTGTCATATCATGGAGTAAAAGTGAGGAAGTAAAATTTAAGCATGTAGTAGAACTCGTGAATGAATGTCATTCACACGTACCAATGAAAGGTGATGTGACAAAAATGATATATATAAGCAGGCATATGCGAAATGTGAGTATGACAAAAATGTGTTCCAATAGTATAAATACCGTCGGCATTACACAATGCATCACATGCTCTCTTTTACACATGTTCAACATTTAATTTGTTAATAGAAAAGATTTAACTATACATAAGTAATCCTCATTGGAAGGACGATGGCAGATATTGTTATACCGTGCACCAGGACTCACAATGCATTGTGCACTCTAAAAATCCATTGTTTTGTATGTACATAATTGTAGAGTAGAATACACATAAACTCTTAACATAATACACAAAATCTTAACCTAATACATAATAATACACATAAACTCTTAACATAATATACATGAACTCTTTGCATAATAATATACATAAACTCTTAACATATAATAATACATAAACTCCAACATAAGACACATAAACTCTTAGGGCGCACAATGAATTCGGCACCTTGGTGCATCATATAATTTGCCGCAAATAGTCTTACAACACATTTAGTTTATGTGAAACAAAACATTCCTAGAAATTCTATTTTCAAAAATAAAATGACTCTCAATCTATTCCGTGAACCAAACATGCTACTTATTAAACCACTAATTAAGTAAATGTCTTAATATTTTAGAAATTTCTTGCAAATATTAAAATGAAATTAAAGTAACCTAAATCTTACAAAATATATATATATATATATATATATATATATATATATATATATATATATATATATATATCATCTCTAACATGGAACATACCTAAATTAAAACCATGGGAGTTACCCCATTTGATTGAAAAGCTCCATGTGAAGTAGTCCTTGGATAGTGATAGAGGCGCACACACCTCTATATAGTGCTAGTTGAACAGCCTGCCTATTCTTGAATGATCACTTTCATGAATTATAGAAAAGCAAAAAATCTCCCAAAACAATAATGTTATATATTTTATGGGAGAAAATTTCAATTTTGGTCCACTAACTATTGGAGTTGTGTTAATTATAACACTTGACTTTCAAAAATGTTAATTTAGTACCTTGACTATGCAATTTCTATCAATTTTGGTCACGCCCGCCAAATTGCTGGTCAAATCTCACCGAAAAAATTTAATAGGTCAAATAATAAGAATATTTTAGTCATTTTACCTTTCTTCCTTTTCTTCTCCGACGAGCTACCATTTTCCGACCAAATCTTTTCATTTCTTTCATCTAAATCTCAAGCAGAGCAGCGAATTGGGATTAAAATTGCTATGGCGTACTACGTCATCAACTACTTTAAGCTCAATATCTGGGAGGTAAGACTAACCTTCAAAGACATAAATTAGGATTAAAATTGCATGTATGGTTTTGAAGCTAAATGATGATTTTTGAATGCAATTTGTGGAGACTTGGATGGGGATATCCAGGTGTTTGAGAACATTGAACTTTTGAAAACCCTTCACCCATCCCACTCCTTTTGCCAAGCAAGTACATATCTCTGTCCCCATAAAGATTGGCCTCCCCCATCCGAAATTGGTGTTGTGGATGCGGCAACTTAACCCAACTCGTAATCCCCAGATTTGGGCATTTGAAAGTATGTGCACCGCGAACCAAAGCTTTCACATCGGGCTAATTGTTCACTGTTAGACTTCTTCTTCAGAAATTTCTTAGTGTCATCACGCTCGCCGGAAATGGAGAGGAGGTCATCGGAGAAAAAGGAATGAGTAAAATGACTAAAATATCCTTATTATTTGACCTATTAAATTTTTCTGGTGAGATTTGGCCGGCAATTTGGCCGGCGTGACCAAAATTGATAGAAATTGCATAGTCAAGGTAATAAATTAACATTTTCGAAAGTCAAGTGTTGCAATTAACACAACTCCAATAGTCAGTGGACCAAAATTGAAATTTTCTCTATTTTATGGTATCAATCATACCCAATAGTAGTATTTGATACAATCATATTATTATTCATGTTGTATCGAATAAGATGTTGATCTTCATATCTAGGAGTGAATGTTAGCGAATAGAACTTTCAATAAACTAAGCGTTTGTTTATGTTCGTTAATTATTATTAAGGTAAACATAAATGAACAAATGTTAGAACTCGGTTCAAATGAACAAATATTAGTCCCTATATATAGGGATGGCTGATAGCCACTTCATGATCATCCAAACCCCAACCAGAAAGCAAGTTATTAAAGCCATAAAATCCAGAAAACAACTGGTCCGACATTCAACAGATCCATAAAATTCCTTTGAAAGAATGTCCTAAGCATATATTACAATCATGTATATATATTGAATATATCATTCTATTTTGGGGGGGGGGGGGGATAGAGAAATGGAAGGACATAATCCATATAGTGAAAAACTTTAACATCAACAATCTATGAAGCTCTTGATTTTTTAGATGACGAGGAAAATAGGCTGTCACTATTCGAGAGTGTGTGCTGCTGGAGCCTTATAACGACCTTAGCCAACAAAGTACCACACAAGGAGGTTGCTTATTAGGTTATTGAGGCAAACCAAGAAAGCCAATAGACTATTTTGCTTGAAACTGGAACTTGTAGGTGTTGTGGTCAAAGACAATACTTTGTATGGTACTAGGTTAGATGTATGAATGAATAACAACGAAGATGTTTTTCTCACCTTGATCTTCTACTGAGATTCCAACTGGAACAATCAATTAATCACCACCATTCACACCCAGAAATCCAAGAAATTAAAAGTAGTAGCTGATATGAGCTTTAAAACCCTGAGAAGTGTTGGTGTGGTGAGATTAATACCAGAAATAAATTAAACAGCAGGATTATATTAATCAAGTTTTTAAGTAAATTAAACCTTTAAAAAAAAAAAAAAAGTGACGGAAAATGAACATGTGAAGGAGACATACCTGGGCACAATTACTGCTATATCTGATTAAAAAAAATATCATCAGCAGCATCTTCTT